AAAAAATCCTCTGCATCCCAGAGGAGCTGGGGAGGCTAAAAGCCTGGTCTGGACCAGAGATCTGTCCATTGACCCAAAAATGGCCCTGAATCCAGTGGCTGGGGTGGGAGGGAGACTACATGGCAGGTCCAGGATGATAGGGGATGGGGCTGGCTCCCCCGGGCTTCCACGTGTGCTGCTGAGATGGGCACAGGCCAGGCCTGAGCGTGCAGGATAGGGGGCAGGAGCCGGCCCCACATGAGCCCAGGGAATAGCACTCCGGCTGGCTGCAGCTCTCTGTGCCCTGTCCATCCTGGGGCAGCGATCCCTGCTCAGATGCACGTGCTCATAGTGGTTTCTGAAAACCCATCCAAGGGGATGGCAAGCCACCTTTTTTAATGAGGATATGGGCTGGCTGCCAAGGTGACAGCAACCAAACAGACAAACTTAAAGCCTGGCGCTCGAGGGAAGTGACCCTAGACTGGGGGCGTTCGAAACTGGGTCCCTGGCGGAGATGTCCAGGAGCAGGCCCCCCGGGCACGGGCTCTGGTCCGAGGCCGGGCACTGTCCTGCACAGCGATGGACACTCTTTGCCAGGCCAGGTTGCAGCCGGCCGGAGACCTGCAGGGAGGGCGCAGCCTTGTTGCAGGGCCGATGTGTCCAGGGGAAGGTACTTGGCTTCCAGAAGTGTATGGGCATGGCCAATTAACGCTCCCTCTCGAGTATGGAAATGAGGCCAACCTACTCTGTTCTGATTGTGTTAATTAAATAAAACTTCCACACGTGGAGCTGGCCTTTCTGGGCTCTCCTGGATCCCTGTGAAACCTCAGCTGTGCGTTGGTGAGAGCAGCATGGCTCCTCTCTCAGGCTTGCCCACGCTGCCACCTGACCCTGGCAATGAGGGAGGAGGCAGAAGTGCCTTTGCTCCCACCGTCTCCTCGGGAAGGCCCAGCATCGTGGAGCAGAGAGCCAGAGCCCCTTCTTCTCTGGGGTAGCTGGAGGTCACACCTGCCCCTGGAAGCTGTGCTCCATGTGATCTGGGCAAGTCACTCAGCCTCCTTAAGCCTCAGTTTCCCTTTCTGTAAAATGGGCTGATATCCTGTAGGAGACCTGGGGCGTTCCCTCCCTCCCTCCCTGGGGGTGGCTTTGGCCACCTCCCCTATCCAAGAGACTGGGCTTGGCATTTCCTGCAGCCTCCCACGTTAGGCTAGAGCCAGCCCCTGCTATGTAGGCAGCTCCTGGCCTGGTAAACATTCAATGCCACGTCTTGCAGCTCTGCTAATGGAGTAGCTTAATGAAGGTGTTGGAGTCATCAGCTGGACCCTCCTGGCACCTAGCAGGCTTACAGCTAATTAGGAACCTAATTAGGGGAGATTGGAAGCAGGCAGAGGCTGAGTGGCGAGGACAGGAGGTCCTGAGCAGGCTCCAGGCTGGTCTCTGAGCTACGGAGAGGACGGGCACCCTGCGCCCCTGCTTTGAGCTCCCAGGTCGGTGTTGAACTGTGGCTGGGGAAAGGGGCTCTGAATCTCCAGCCGGACCCCCTGGGGGTGCTGATTTATCCCCCTTGAGAGCCCACTGTTGCTGGGACCCCTCAAAACCCTGGGCATCCTCCGTGGGGCTGAACTGCTACAAGCAGGGCTTGGAGGGAACCTGATGCTTGTTCCAGCCTCCCTGGCATAGGGGACCGCGGACACAGCTTTGATGCTTGCCAGCCTCTCCAGGTGCCAGGTCCATCTCGCCCTCATCCTTGCTAATATAGGGTGTGACGGCCCAGCTATAGTCCACTGCTGCTTCCTGCTGGAGGGCAGCGGTGCTCTGCTGTGTGTCCTAGGCCCCGCGTGGCAGAAAAGTAAGGGAGATTCTCCTTGTGCCCCTGTGGTCTGGGAGGAAGAGGCTGCGATTTGTGCGCTCGCTGCTGTCGGGATGCTCAGGGCAGACAAGGCAGCTGGGTAGAGACGAGTTTGACATCTGGGACGGGTGCAGGGGTTCGGTATCAGGGCCCTGCTCTTTGCTAGACAATCCTAGGACTCGCAGAGTGAGAGTCGGGCTCGCCCGCCAGGTTTGCTGAGCTGGGAGCTGCTCAGGCAGTGGGGAGAGCTGTGGTGCCCGCAGCCGTGCCATGCTTCTCGTGCTCTCTCAGGGCTAGGCTTGCAGGGTCTGCTGCGCGGCTGCAAATATCTCTGGCTTTGTGCACCTTGTCCAGGGGGTTGCAGTGACAGGGAAGAGGCAAATCAAGGGGTGGGGGAATAAGTTTTTTTTTACTAGGGGGTGAATCCAGCAGCCTGGGGAAGCTGGTGTGGGAGCGTCCCACCTGCTGCTGCTAGCTGGCAAGGGGATGCTGTAAACCAGGAGCGTTCTCACCCCTGTTGCACGAGAGGATGGGTCTGACGCCACGGGGCTACAATTCTTGGAGACATAAGAACAGCCAATGCTTGGTCCTGCTAAAATAAGCTCCTGCATCTGCAATGAGCCTGTTGGAGCAGGACAAGGGACCCTCTCTAGCTTGTAGTTATGGGATAACCCACCCCAGGGAGATGTGAGTATGGAGCAGATACCCCTCCCTGTCCTCTGCTGCGTGCAGCATACGTCCGTGCTGCTGGGCCCTGGGGGCTCTCGCTGCATAGCCCATGCCCGATGCTCGCTGAGCGCGCAGCCTCTTGCAGCTATGGCTTTCTTGGGCTTTCTTGGGCTCCACCTAAAATAAAGGGCTGGCTCTTCTATGAAGAGACCCCACCCCGGTCTGCGGAAACCTCTGGGTCTCGGGCATTTCCTCTGCTTGGAAGGAACAGCCTGGACCAGCCCCTTTCTCTGCAGCACTGGAGCAAGAAGCTGTCCATGTCTGGAAGCACCTATGGATGCTGCAAGGTTAAACATGAGGGTTGGAAGGGAGGTCACATCTAGTCCACCCCCTGCTCAAAGGAAGACCAGCTACATCATCCCAGCCAGGGTTTTGTCTAGCTGGGTCTTAAAAATCTCCAAGGATGATGATTGCACCACCTCTCTGGGTAACTTGTTCCAATGCCTCACCACCCTCCTAGTAAGAGAGTTTTCCCTAATATCCAACCTCAACTTCCCTTGCTGCAGCTGGAGCCCATTGCTCCTTGTCCTGCCATCTGCCCCCGCTGAGACCAGCCCAGCTCCGTCCTCTTTGCAACCCCCCCGCAGGGCTGCTATCAGATCCCCCCTCAGTCTTCTCTTCTGCAGACTAAATAAGCCCAGTGCCCTCAGCCTCTCATCACCAGTCGTGCACAACACAGGACCTGAGCAAAACCACTGGTCTAGATTGTCCCCGCTGGACCTGCATCCCGAATACACCACGGCGACATGCAGCAAGTGCCCGAGTGAAATGTTTATTGCAGCAGAACGTAACAAGTCCGTGACAACGCGAGGCCAGACCTCTCGCCTCCCAGGAATAGGGCTGAAACACCAGGGACCAACTGCTCTCCAGGGTTACCCCCTCCGGGCGTTCAAGCTCCAATGTCGTTTGCTCAATGCACGCCCCACCTGGCTGCCTTGCATCTGCATGCTTGCCAGCAAACCTGGGTAGTTAGGCACCTGGAAGACAAGCAGCCACACAGGATCGACCGCCCCTCCATCATCTCCCTGCTCCTCAGACAGCTGTGTCCTGAGCAAACAGAGGGCAAGGGGAGATCCTGAGGATGTCCTCCTGGGGGCTGAGCAACAAGCTGGAGAGAAACAGAGGTACCAAGAGACACGTGCGCAGCAGTGATGCTGGCACCGGCCAGTCCTGCCTCTTGGATCCTTCTCCAGCCTATCTCCATTGCAGCCGGTTCATCAGCTTCCTGCTCTGCCTGGCACTGGGGTCACGAGGATGGGTTTTGTTCTTCCTCACACCCCCAGAGCTGCCTTGGGCTGCAGAGGGGACCCAGGGCGCTGTTGCTGTGCCCAGAGAAGCGGGCACCTGTGCACTCAAAGCGAAGACACGTTTGACCTGGGTTTCCTGATTTGCAAGGAATTAAAAAGTTGGAATTGGTTTTTTCCTCCAAAAAATGGAGGGAGGTGGGAAAGGATGTGGAAATATCCTGTGAAACCAACTCCCAGCCTCACCTTGGTGCTTTTCTCTACTCTGGCTTGGACTCTTCTGGCACCTTCTTTTAATTAAAAGCTGGTTTTAGATCCCCCCCAAATCCTTTTGAAGTGACCCCTCCTTCATCTCCTTTCTGAGCACTCTCAGCTATACACAGAGGCAGGACTGGGATCCTTTTTCCTCCACGAAACCTGCTTGAAATTTGACTTTTAAAGAGGGAAGGAAAGGCTGGCACTTTCTTGGTGGGGGGGAAGAGGACTGCTTTCTTGCATACCACCGGTGTAAGATTCTGTCCTGGGAGAGAGCCATGGCCTTTAATCTTCACGCTGATGTTTGCAAGCACTCAAGGAAACAATGGTTTCTATTTCTGGGTCTGTTCTTGCCCGGGCCCCGCTGCCACGCTGGAGCCAGGTGAAGGCAGAGCCAGGTGGGGGACGGTGCAGTGCATTGGATCCCCTTGGTTTGTGCCCGTCTGGCCCCTCTCTCCCACCCCTGCCTGATACAGGAGAGCAAGAGCCGTCTGGTGCAGCAAGGGGCTGGCTTTCAAGCCTCCTGTGCCAAACTCAGCTGTCAGGGTTTCAGCCTGGCTCTAACGAGACGCATGTGCGCATCAGCTGGTAACCTAAGCAGGGAGCTGCCTTGGCACCACAGTGCCCTGGGGTTGTAGGGTAGTGCCAGCCTACAAGCTCTGCCCTAGTCCTGCCACCCAGACAGCACCATCTGAGCCCTCTCCGGGTCTGCCTCTGCCAATTCAGCAATGCCTGGTGCCAGCACTTCACCTGCTACCACTTTCGTCTTGCAGATCTGGGCAGGATGCATCCGCGGGCTGGCAGGGCTCTGTAGCCACCCCAGCTGCAGACTCAGGTTGGGAGACAGCAAGCTGGAAGAGAAGGGCAGGGGCTCTCCATCACACTGCACTGAAGTACAGCCCTTTCTGCGGGTCTCCCTGACCAGGGGGTGGCAGGGATGGCTGCTAGGGGGCATCAGCGGTGCCCTCCACCAAGGCCCGGCGGGGGTTGCCTCTCCCCAGGGGCTGGAGGTCCCTGCCCGCGCTACAGCCGGTCGTGGCAGGGGGCAGGCCACGGCGGGATGGCTCCTCGCGGCCGCACTTGCACAGCGTGGCGAAAGCGGCCCGAAACTTGCGGGACATGAGGTTGTAGATGACGGGGTTGATGGCGCTGTTGGCGTAGACGCAGGCCCGGCAGAACAGGAGGAACCAGGGGTCCAGGTAGGGGCGTGCCATGAAGGAGTTCACCAGCACCAGCGTCCGGTAGGGCATCCACAGCACGGCAAAGAGGACCACCACCACCGCCAGCATCTTGGTCACCTGCACGGGGCCAGGAGAGGCCTTGTCAAGCCAGCCAAGAAAGGTGGGCTCCCACCCCCCCACCCAGGTAGCCCCCAGAAAGACCCACCCATCCAGTGCAAAAGCATCTGATGCCCTCTCCAGCTCAGCTCTGGCTGCAAGGACTTGAAGCTGAGCGTGTTGCATTGGCCTCGTGCCTCTTGGTACCCTCGCTGGGAGCCCTCCTGCCCTGCCTGGGGTGCAGAGAGGCCGTGCTGTCTGGGCAAGGATGGTGATGCCTCTCCCAGCTGCTTCCCAGAGCCCCTTGTTGCTTACTGTGTCTGGAGAGAATCATCTCCTGCTGCCATGCTGCCAGCTTGCTGCGCCCAGATGTGGCACATCTGGGTCTCGCCCAGGGGAAGGGATGCCCTGCAGGTATCCCGTGCAGGGTGCAAAAGGCTCAGGGTGGTGGGAAGGGAGCTGGCCCCACACGTGTCTGGGGTTGGCGCTAGGGCAATCCCAGAGCTGGTCCCACTTGGGCATCACCCCTAGTAAATCCTCCCAGGCCAGCTGCTGTGAGGGGGCTCAGCAGGGAAAAAGCCTGGGGGGTCAAGTAGGCTTCTTATTCCTCCCACCCCTCCAAGGCTCAGCTGATCATAGACCCCAACTTCCCACCCGTGCACATCCAGGGCTCCTGCTTTACCTCCCTGCAGACCCTAGCTTCCAGCAGGGAATAGCCCAGTGTATAATAGACCGAGACCCTCAGCCAGGGCTGTGCCCCGGTGCTCCTGGCAGAGCCCAGCTGCCAGCTTCGAGGGCTGCCAGGTGCTGGCCTTTGACGCAGCGGCTGCATGGTCGTGGTCCGATAGGGCTGCGGGGGAGGACTCTCCAGGCTCAGCCCGCTGAGATTGCCTCTATTGACGGTGGTAACAATGAGCCTGCGGCAGTGAATGAGGCCAGCTCTCCCCCGCCAACTCCATTAGGATGGCTGTGGAAGGGAGGGGAGGGGAGGGGATGGCGGTGGCTGCAGCACGAAGGGTTGCGGGGAGCTTTGCTGCTGTGCAGGGGTGATGTGTGCAAGGCTGCAGACCCCTGGGGCAGGGTGCCACCCGGACAGGCCTGGCTCCGGTGTTGGAATCGAAAAGCTGAGACCACCCATGCACCAGGCTGTGTAGCAACCTCTGTGCTGTCTCGAGGAGGGGTGCGGGAGCTCCTGACCCCCCCAGCCAGTGGCCGTGGGCACCGCTGGCTCCTGGGGGCAGACGCAATGGCACATCCCCTCTGTGTGCCAGGGGAGCTGAGCCCCCCAGCACTAAAGGGGGGCACGCTCAGCACCGAGCCTTTGGCTTGGAGCATTGTGGGCCAGATCCTTTGCATCCTGGTGGGTGCTGAGTGCCCAGCCTGAGCCCCTGGGAACCTGAGACCGTGTCTGCTCACATCACGCACCGGCCTCGTAGCCTTGCACTGAGTCACCAGCGAGGAGCCCCTTACCTTGAGTCCTATTGCTTTTGGGATGGAGCATAGTGGATTTAGGCACCTAGTAGGTGGAGTGGAGCCCACCCGCAGCCTGGCCCCCGGATTTCTGGGGTGGGGCAAAAAGGCAGTGACCCCGTGGGGTGGAGGAAAGGTTTCTTACCTGCTTCCGGGAGGCGAGGGCCCCCCTGGCCCGGCTGTGGCTGCTGGCCTGGCTGCCCCCCGCGCCGTTCCTCTCCCTCCCACTCCTGTCCTTCCAGCGTTCAGTGGCACCGGTGACCGGTGGGGAGACAGGGCCGATGAAGAGGACCCTCCCGATGAGCCCATAGAGCACGGTGGCCACGAGCAAGGGGGTGACGAAGAAGAGGGCGAAGTCCAGCAGGTAGATGGGCAGGTAGAGGTTGCGGGAGACCTTGTAGCCGCACTCCAGGTGCTGGCGCGGCCCCACGTTGATGTCGACCAGGAAGAACCAGAGCAGGCAGTAGATGGCCGTGCCGGCCCACACCAGGGCAGTGATGCGCTTGGCGCGTGACACCGTGCACATGGTCTGTGCCCGGATCGGGTGGCAGATGGCGATGTACCTGGGTGGGGAGGGCAGGGCCGTGAGCAAGGCAAAGCCCTGATCCTGCCGGCTGCTCTCGCTGGACATGACAGAGCCGTTGGGGTCTATGGAGACCTGTGCTCACTGGAGGGGCAGTGGGGGCTAGTGGTTATGACACCAGCTAGGACACCTTCCCAATACTGCCCCTGATTGACTGACTGCCTCTCTTCCCCTTCTCTCGGTAAGTCTCATTCAGACCTTTGGGGAAAGGGCTGGTTTCTCCCCATGCATTTGTGCAGCCCCTGAAGCCCAGACTGGGTGGCTTGAGAGCACTTACACCAGCATGAGCCTCAGTTTTCGGGCCCACCCAGATCCCCTTGCAGTGCCGGTGCTGCAGCATTTGCACCCGATTCACCCACCAGATAAGGTGGGCAATGCCCACAGCAGAGAGCAGGAGGGCTTGATATGGGGAGGAGCGCATGTGCACTAGCTCCGCACAGGCGTGTTTGTGCATGACCCTCCACCATGCACATCTCCAGAGTGGGGGATAGCCAGCTCCCCAGCAGCAGGGTGTTGGCAGGAGCCCAGCCCCTGGCTTCCCCTTGTGTGGGTCAGGGTGTGTTGATGTCCTGGGAGCTGGGCTGAATGGCTGTTCCTGGAGGTTTTAAGAGCTTGTCTAGCATGGTCCAGATGCAGCCGCCCCTGACTGCAGCTTGCCAGTGTTGGCTGGCTGACCAGCAGCTCCCAAGTGCCTGGGGTTGGCATCATAGAGCCAACTGCTCTGGCTGGGTCTGCAAGGGTCGCCACAAAGCAGCTGGCATCCGCTCCTACCTCTCCACGGTGAAGGCGGTGATGGAGCAGGAGGACACGTTGATGCCTAGATACTGGAAGTAGGTGATGCCGAGGCAGCCAGCATGCCCGTACACCCAGGTGCCTGCCAGGCTGTCGGAGACGTTGGGCAGCCCGGCAGCCACTAGCACCATCAGGTCAGCCACTGCCAGGCTCACCAGGTAGCAGTTGGTGGGCGTCTTCATGTCCCGGGTGATGAGCACCACCAGCACCACCATGACGTTGCCCACGATGCCGGCTCCGCAGATGAGCAGCACCAGGAAGACGGAGACGGCCTTGTACTCGAGCAAGGCCAGGCCGGTGTCGGCGCCCGCCAGCGAGATGTTGGTGGGGCTGTCAAGCCTGCTGCTGTTCTCCATCGTCACGGCCTGCTGGGAGCTTGCAGCCGCTTCGGCAGCTGCCAGGAGAGGCTGTGCTGCTTGCCTGTGCCCTGCTCCCCCCGGGTCCCACGTGCAGGGGTGCCTCAGTGGTGCTGCAAGGAAAGGACCATGTCAGTGACCAGCCTGCCCGTGTTTGCACTCCTGCAGGGAGCTGCCTCCTCTCTCTCTCCCAAGCTGCTCTGTTGCCCTGTGCTGGGGGTATCCCGGGGATGCATCCTAGGAGGAGCCCCAGACAGGGTAGAGTTGGGGCTGGCTGGCTCAGGACTTGGGCAAATCTTGTCTGGGGCTTGAGGTGGGGCTTAGCAAACCTCCCCATCGGCTGGGAGCACCGGTGCTTGCTGGCGAGGCCTTGGCAGTGAGTTCGAGGGGCAGTAGCTGGGCATCAGAGCTGCTGGTGCTGAGCTGCCGCAGGGGGCTGGCAGGGAGGGGCTCTCTGCTTCCTCTGTCTCTATTCATCTCAGGCTTATTGCCATGGTGACAGCCCACCCCCCTCCATCCTGTCTTCCTCTCTGACACTTGCGGGGTCCGTCTGCTCCCCTCCCCTCCCCTGCCATGGGGTCTGTCTGCTCCCCTCCCCTCCCCTGCCCTCCCCGCCACTGGCCTGGCCTGATCCTGCACAGTGCTGAGCACAGTGAGACCCCAGCATCAGACCTCATAGTGAAGGCATTTGCACAGGGGGCAGTGCCTGGACGTGGGTGTGGGGTGATGCCTCCTGGACATGGAGTCACCCATGTCGTGGGCATCTACACGTGTGTGCGCCCTAGGTGGGGGGCCCCGTGCTGGCATAGAGCATGCTGGAAATGCTTGTCATCGCACCCAGGCCAGCCCCTCTTGCTGATGTAGGATTACCCCCCTCCCAAGGCCACAGATGTAGCCAGCAGCAGGGGTTGGGATGTAGCCAGCAGCTGAGGAGTTTGGAGGTGTCTGGTGATCCGAGTCCCTGGTGAGGGGAGAGCTCATAGCCCACATACTGTGAGAGGCAAGAGCAATGCCATCTGCCTCACAGCAGGAACATAGCGCTCTCTCTCCTCCCTCTGCTACCAGATGCCAGAGACCCCCCAAGCCCATACGTCAGGGCTTGCGTGTGCCGTTTGCTCCTTAGGTGGAGGTTGAGGTGCTGCCTGGACCCAGGGGCACCCAGGCTGGCCGCGTCACCCCGCGCTAGCTCCCAGTGGGATGCAGGCATGGGGCGCAGGGCTCGTCAGACAGATGCAGCTGGAAATCTTGCTGCCAAACCACATAGGTGGCCTCCGGGACGACCCAACTAGGACAAGCAAAAAGATGCACCCCCCTTCAAAACCTCCTGCTCCAGCCTGTCTGGAACAAAGACTCTTGCTATTGCCTTGCCTTCCTTCCCGCCGACAGGGAAAGCTCTGATGGAGCCCAATGCAGCACTGCAGGGGGGGGGGGGTTCCTTGGCCAGAGTTTGTGGTTTTATTCTGATCTGAAGTGACAGCCACTGTCAGCATCTCACAGCCGGTGTCACCCTCTCCCCAGCTGCACCACGGAGTAGGTCTGTGCATCCCCGCAGCCCTGGATGCATCGCACAGGCTCTGGCAGCCGACGTCCAGCTGATCTCCCACGAAGGGGAATGGACACAGATTCCCAGAACAGCTCGACGGGCGCATCTGGAGTCCGGGGAAGGGGGTCTCAGCACATGTCAGACAGCGCGCCAGGAATGGAGAGGAGCATGGCCCGACAGCTGGCAGCATCAGGTGCTTTGTCTATCTGCAGCTGCCTGGTTCCTTTGGTCCCTTGCACTGGATCTTAGAAACTCAGGGGGATATCCCCAGCCCTCCCCTCATTCCTCCCCTCCAGCTCCTTGCTCTCTCCTTGCTGCCCCTCTTTGCAAAGTCAGCCCCGCTCCCACCAGCGGCTGAAACACCCACCAAAGAAACTTCCCTGCAGAACTTACTGGGGAAGGCGCCGGCCCCCAGAGCAGCCGGGGGACAGAAGCAGGTGGACACGGTAGAGCAGCTGGCATTCCCGAGCTGGTTTCACTCCATCTCTTCCCCACCAGGCAGCAGCCGGGCTCCCTGCCTCTCCCCGTCTGCTCTGCCTGGCTGCTGCGGCTGGCTGCAGATATAAGGGGACTCCTCATCAGCTGATACAGCTCCTCGCTCCTCGCTAACCTATGGGAGCAGAGACTTTGTGCCCACCACCGTGGGGGCTCCTGGGTGTCTCGAGCCCTGCACCCCTCTGTTCATCTCCAGCCATATGGTGTTAGACTCCCTGGCTTCTAGCTCCAGCCCTGCACCTCAGCCCTGGGGCATCCCTGCCTGGCTTGTGGGCCCCCAGCTCCGCGGAGATTCCTGGCTTTGCTGTCCATGCCTTGCAGTCCTGAAAGGAGCAGCCCTGCCTCAAAGGCAGAGCTGCCCCATGGGGCACTGGCTTTCTCAAGGCATCACAGCAAACCCCGCTGGAGCTGGGGACTAGTGAGGTCCCTGCCTCTGCAGGAAGACAGGGGTCTCCCCGCTCTCCTCTCCGGCTGCCTGCGAGGCCTTGCGGGTGCATTCATGGGTTTGTGGCTGGCTGCGGAGGAGAAGCCAAAGCAGGTTCTTCAGGACCGGGTGGGTGGTAATTGCAGGGAGCTGACCCAGGTGGCTGCTTCCAGGCCTGTGTTGCTCCCAGGTGGGGGAAGTGACCTGGGCAAGAGTTTCCCTGCTGCATCTGCAGCTTGCCCAGCTGAGAGCCAATGCAGGTGGAGAGAGGGCATGGCCAGATGGGGAGGGCACAGTCTCCACAGCACTGACCTGGTGGTGCCCTCCCTGCCAAACCACATCCATTGCCTCCCCGCCTGGGCTCCCAAGGGATAGCGGTGGCATGGGCACAAGCCTCCCAGAGCTGCCCTGGCAGGGCTGTGCATGCTGCTGCTGGGGGTCTCCAGCCCCCGTGCTAGTTGGGGTAGCACAGCTCATTGAGCTGCTCCTGGCCTTTGCTAAGGGCTGCCGCAGGACAGGGGCAGTCTGAGGCTCACGGTGCTGTGACAGCCTTCCCGCTGCAGGTGCAAGAGCACTTGCAGACGTCGTAACCTGGGCTCAGGCATGGCCCAGCAGTGGGGAGCGGATCCCAGCTCTGGCGCTGCTGTGCTGAGCCACACCGAGCCCATCATCAATGCACAATCTGCCTCTATCTTCTGTGAGGGTTTGGGGGTGTGGGTGCTGCTAATTAGCATGTATTTGCATAATGCTAGGGACTGGGAACTGCTTGCTTATTAAGATTAATGATGTGTTTTTTCCAAGGATGAAGCCAGCCAAACCAAAGCGCAGGGCAGGACAAGACAGTGGCATCTGGCAGCTCAGCCTGTGAACCCAGGTGAACGCTGGCCCCCGGGAGCCGCAGGGGAGACCCATGAGCTGCCCCCATGACCGTCCCTGCTTAGGACTGCGCTGGATGGAGCCCCACAGTTGTGGAGACGGGGTGGATCTGCCAGCTGGGGAAGAGGGGAAAGTCCCAGACGATGGTGCAGCCCCTTGGGTTGTAGCCAGGTGATTCCTGCAAGCCACGAGCAAAGCCCATCTCTGGCATACAGCCTGCACCTGGCCAGGGCAGGAGCGGGTCACCTAGGGCTAATGCCCGCGTGGTTGCAAGGAGCTGAGCCCACTGCAGACATAGGGCATGCCACCGAGCTCAGCCCTGTGATCCACATGACAGACACCCCTGCGCTGCTCTGGGAGGACCCAGGCACTGCGATAGAGACGTGGCTAGCTCCAGCGGGCATAAGGGACTGACCTCGGGGTCCCTGCCCCCCCAGCTGTAGGATTTCCGGTCATTCTGGGGGTGCTTTATGGTCTGGAGGGGGCTGATCCTGCCTCAGGCAGGGGGCTGCACTGGATGCGACCTTGGGGGTCCCCCCTGCTGTTGGATTTGTCACTCTGGGGGTGTCTGGGGTGCTGCGGAGGGGACTGATCCTGCCCCCTGGATATGGATATGACCCCCAGCCCCCCTGCTGTAATTGTGGGGGCGTCTGACAGTCTGGAGGGGGCTGATCCTGCCTCAAGCAGGGGGTTGTCTGGGGGGGTCCCCCCTAACCCCACTGCTGTCGAATTTCTGTCACTCTGGGGGTGCCTGGAGGGGACTGATCCTGCCCTCTGCATATGGATGTGACCTCAAGAGCCCCCCACCTTGTAAGATTTGTGCGGCTCATGGAGGGGGGGGTCACCTGAGAGCCCCAACACTGAGCCGCGTGGCCCGTGGGACACCAGCCCACGTGCCCCGGGGGCGCGGCCCCTTTAAGGCCCGGCCGGGGAGGGGGCGGGGGCCGCTCCTCCC